CCCCAAAGCAACCCTACGCGCCGGCCGCCCCTGGCGACTGCCGGCCCTCCGCGACGTCAGCACGTCTTGTAGGACGCAGCGCGCCGACGAGGCCCGCTCCCTCCGCCGAGAAAAGGAGTGCGCGCCTCCGGGCGCGGCGCCCGCCGCCGAACTGGTCACTCAGGGAAGCGGGACCCAGCGTACGCTCGGGTGAGCCCGCAGCTTGTGACCAACCGCAGCCTCCGCGCTGGGCCCGGGAGCAGACTCCAGCCGGCCACAGCCCGGGCTCAAGTCGGCTGGGAGGAGGGTTTCAGAGACGCAGGTCTTGAACTCCCGCTGCATGCAGGAGGCCACTTGTGCGGTGTAGACCCCAAGGATCCCGTGAAGGCAAAGGAGCGACTACTAGAGCCCGGCCTTTCCCACGCCCTCTGTAACCGGAGGTCATGCTGCCAAACTGCTGGTCTTCTCCAACTCTTCTGGGTTTGCTCGCTCAGTCCCTAAAGGGATGGTATTGGGCAGGGATTCTGCACCTTTTGGGGGTCCCTTGACCTCTGTGAGAAGCTGATGACAGCTCAAGACCCTCTCCAGAGAAATGCTGATGCATACAGACTCAACGTTGCATACAGTTACAAGGGCTCTCCTGGGGCACTCTGGGTGTCTTGCCAGTTTAACCTCAGGCTTACCTTAAAGGGCTTAAGGGAGCTTTATATTTTACCTGATTTTTAAAGTTGTTCGGGTGACAAGGAACTTGTCAACTTTCCTTCAAGGAAGTGTCTTATGAAACTATTGCATAAACAATATGCTTGAAACGTCATAGAAAACTCAGGCTCCATACTTCAGTGTATATTCTTTTTTTTAGGGTTTTTGCTTTCAGGTTATCTCTCACCACCTCATTGCATTGTTCATCCCTGCGAACTAGTCTCTGAAGGCCAGGCAGGGATCCTAAGAACTGCCAACCTTGAAGCAGTCAGCCCTGAAATTCTGAGAGTGTTACCAACCGAATGGAGTTTGTTGGCCTTGGCAATCAGAAAGCCAAACACCAAAGCAGGGGTCTTTGCAGCAGAGAAAAAGGTTTATTCACAAGGCAGCCAAATGAGAACATGGGAGATATATATATAGATATACATGTAGATATAGCTCATATTCATCTTGTCCACAGTGGAAAATGAAGTATACATATGGGGAAGTGGTTAGGAATGGTGCAAGGCTTGGGGATATGGAATTGGTTAAAAGGTTTGAGGGAGTTCCCCAGCAATCTGCACAGGCACAAGCCATCTGCATGCCTCCGCATGTTCAGAAAAAGGGAGGTGAGGTGTTAGCACGATCTGGAGGTGGAGTTTTCCGCCCTCTGATGTCAAAAAGCTCACCCATCAGACATTTGTGCAGGTTCAGTAGAGAGGTCTGCGCAGATCAACTTGGTTTCTGTTGGGCCAAGCTAACTCCAAATATTCTGAAAAACACCTTAGACACACAACTCATGACTTATGCAACAGAGGCATGACCTTAAAAGGCAGATAGGAAGAAATAGAATTTTACTGAAAGAACAAGCAATTTAAACAGAGAACCAATTTTAACAGAAAAGCCACAATTTCAAGAAAACCCTCCTTCCTCACACCCTCAAAATGTAGGGCCTTGGATTTCTGCTCCCACTACTGTGCACTCCTACGTAATCCTATTCTTACTTCAAAATCTGGCCCAGCTGGTTGTGTTAGATGCTGAAAACTGTAGCCTTCAAAAATTGAGAGCAAGTTAAGCAAGTTTGTGCAAATACACAAAAACGTATTTGGTGATGATTTGTTACCTCATTGAAAGACTCTCTACATTCTATCTTTAAATATGAGTATTTAAATAATATATGGGATTTAATATGACAAAATTCACTAAATAATAGCTCTTCCGGAATACGTATCTTAGGCTGTAGGACCCTGAACAAATTACTTAACCTTCCATGCTGCAGTTTCCTTATCTGTAAACCGAAGATAATAGCAGCCTCATTGGGTTGTTAAGAAGATTAAATGAGTGACAAGTGTGAAGTGCTTGGAACGCTGCCTGGCACATACAAAACACTATTTAAGCATTTGTTAAGTAGGTAAAGTGAGAGCCAAGCTAGCCTTAGCAACGTTTCCCCAACCCCAGGCCAGTGCCCTCGGGATCTCTGCCCCCGCCTCCTCCATCCACTCCCCAGGTGGTTTCCAGCTAAGTAGAGACCAAACTGTTCAGTTCCAGGGATGGACCGATCGTATCTGCTAAGAGCAGTTTATCTAACAAAAGTCTGGGGAATATACTTTCTATAAACTTTCTTTGTACAGCAATGAGTTAAAATTTTTGGATAGCAGGAAAGCAACAGGGGAGAGAAAATGACACACCTGGAGTCGGGCTGGGGCTGTTCCCACACAGTGCCTGGCACGTGCAAACATTGCAGGGAGCTCAGGGCTCATTATCGAAAAGAAAGGGCAGGGGAAGGGAGAAATTTGCTAAGGGAATGTTTCTTTAGGACTATATTGGTAGCAAATAACAAACATCAAATGTGATAAAGTGAAAAAGAAAAAATGTAGATAAAGATACAGGTACACTCTCACATTTCTCAGGCAGGGTCTCAAAAGCAAACTAGCAGTAGAGCCCGGGACTCAGAGAGGACTGACTGCCTTCTGTGTGTGCACCTGCTGCCTGTGCACCTGCCGCATGCTCCTCCTGCCTCAGAGCCCCTTCTCTGTGGCCGAAGGACAAGCACTGACAGCACAGTCTCAAACCCAGATTCTTATGCAGGAATTTCTGATCGGATTATGTGGAGCTAGTGGTAACAACATCTGAAAGCATGTATTAAATTTGGCAGTCAGTGCTCCAGAAAAATGGTTTAAATGAGAAATGCGCATGTGAAAACTTTACTGGATTTGGTACAGATGGTGCTGGTATAATGTTAGGGAGAAAGTCTAGCCTTTCAGCCAAACATTTAGGGAATTTTAGAAATGTTTTAATGGCACTTAGTCACTGTATTCAATTGTATCTGAATGATGCAATTTATAAATCAAGGAAATAACTTGAAATCTTTCCTTGATAAATTTTATACTTACTACATATAGCAAATAAACTGAAGGGAGAATTAAATAAAATATCTGAAAGTTGAAGTAATGACAACTGGATGAAGACCTGGACCTTGATATGCAACCTGTTGTCCTAGAGTGCAAAGCAGTCAAAAACTGCTATCAATCCTGATTTATAGAATTTAATAAAAATATAAAAGGGAGTGGTATATTAGTCCATTTTTGTTGCTTATAACAAAATACCTGGAACTGGGTGATTTATAAAGAAAAGCAAAATTTATTGCTTACAATTTCTGAGGCTGGGAAGTCCAAAGTCCATCTGGTGGCGGTGACAGTGACCTGGGGGTCTCACATTGCAAGATGATGGAAGCAGAGAGAGCAGAGAGAGAAAGAGAGAGACAGACTCTCCTCTTCTATTAAAGCCCTCAGAACCACGCCCCCGACCACCATTTTTAATCCATTCACTACAGCACAGTCCTACAATCCAATCACCTCTTCAAGGCTCCACCTTTCAATTACCATAATAGGATTTCCCACCCTCTTAACAGTCACAGTGGGGACCGAGTTTCTAATACATAAAACTTGGGGGACAATTCAAGCTTCAGTGAGTTTTGGGGGGACATAATTCAATCCACTACAAGTGCCTAGATAAATAACAAATAAATGATAACTTAAGAGTTTGGATTTAATAAATGATTTT